AACCTTCACAACAACAGGGCTGGTCGCCGGGTGAGTAGAGATCATCGCTTTGCGAGCTTGGACTTCATATTCCGGGTGGCAGATTCAAATATGGTCCGGGATTTTCGTTGTTTTTCCAGCCTCCGCAATGAAAATACGTGGTCGCACCTTAAAATTGGCCACGACGTCGTTAAGTGAAGCAACAAATTAACACGATTTTAAATAAAAAAAAATTAAACTTTCATTGCATCGATTATGGGCAACATCGATATTTTTCTGATTTTTCGACCTATCGTGTGCGGCAGGCGGTGGGGTCCAGTCTGGTGACGCAGTGCAAATGCCACGGAGTGTCGGGATCCTGCAACATCAAGACCTGTTGGCGGGCCCTCCCCACACTTGCCGAGATCGGCGAACGCCTGAAACGCAAGTTCGCGGTGGCAACCGAGGTTATTAGCCGACGAGTGGGCGCGGGTCGCAAGTTGCTACCTGCCAGCTCGGCAATGGGGCTCTATAACGAAGACGACCTCATCTACATGACCAAGTCCCCCGATTACTGCATCAGAGACGCGCGCATCGGCAGTCTGGGTACGAGAGGAAGGTACGTACCAAAGCCTACGCCTCAACGGCATGGCACTATCCTCACTGTCAAGATCCTTCCCCCATGCGCGGAGCGCAAAACGTCGTCCCTTGCCAGATGTAATCATTCCCATTTACGAAACGCATCTAGGAATGCACTTACACTAACGTAATTACCTTGGCTGAAGGCCTTGACACATTCAGACTAGGGGCTGTTGCTGTTGGCAGAAGGATGTCCCATAAGGCACTTTGTCCTTTGCCAAGGGAACTTTGGTCGGATTGACGTCAGAGAGTTGAACCCACACGGGTTGGGATCGGTCTGGCTGAAAGCCTGCTATGACTGGGGGTACGTTCACCAAGGCGACCATACAAGACATCACGTCTACACTTCTTCCTTTGTGAGTGGAACGACAAATTGCACTGAGCAGGGTCCCACCTGAGAAGAAACCTGTACACCAACGGACAGTCATTCCCTGACCTTTATGGAACACCGATGTTTACTGCCGCGTTCACAAGAGCCCGCCACCGGTTCCTATCCTCAGCCGGTTGAATCCAATCTACACCCCCCCCCAACCACGTTCCCCTAAAATTCGTTTTAACATCATCATCCCATCTATTTCAAGATCTTCCAAGTAGTCTCTGCCATTTATGCGTTCGTGCAAAAACAATTTTTTACGAAATTCTCGTCTGTGCTACACGCCCACCCAATCTGGTCCTCCCGGATGTAATCATCATATTAAATGAAAAGTACAAATTACAAACCATTCGTTCATAAATATTCTGAAAACGGCGATTAGCTCTGGTTGTGACCACTTCATTGTCCAGTTTCTTCCAGTCTCCAGACTCCAGTCTATCCATCCCACTTTGATCCAAATATTACTCTCAACAGTCTGTAGTAAATTGAACGACGGCTGCAGCGCTCAAACCGGGGGCCGGGAGTCGTAGAAAAGAAATATATATATATTTTTTTTAGAAACAGTCGTTTAAAACACAAGGTTTGAGAAATATCAAAATCACTCGGAACCACGCACTCAATTATGAGAAAGTTGCGGCCTTTCTGTCATATTTACCCACATTTCGGGATATAAAAAAACACAGACGCAAGGGATACTCAGCTGCCCTGCACGACACCGCAGCTTGGAAATTAGGAAGGTCTTTAACGCTCAAGGGAGAATCACTGTTGGCTGGGCTCCATGAATGCGCTGTGTTTTCTCAGGAAACTCAGGTAGTCCCTTCAAATATTAGTCAGGGTGTTGAAGGAGCAGTAAAAGAAGGGAAGGGGTGGAAAGGTGAGTTAGAAAGCAAACCTCGGAACGGAACACAAGCCATAAAAATAAAAACGCTGAGTTGAGTGGGTTTTTATTAGCATGCGTCTGCAAATCGCTGGTGGCGTTCCACTTTATACCTCGCCTCCGACACCGAAATGGCTCTTTTCGGGGCGTAAGTACTTACAAACTTTTTTCGAAACAAAGTAAGCTGGCAAACAAGCTAATGCAGCTCTGAATATCTCAGCATAAGGGCGTGATACAAGTGCACCTAAATCGCTAAATTCATATACGACTTATCCGAAATTTCATTCTGGTAGATCAGTTTACTAAATCGAAGAGAGAAAAAAAAATCATAAATCCGACCTGAACCCTGCTTAAGGTTGAGACGATGCAACCACGGACAGGCAGCATTAATATGGAGCAATGGAGCGATATTATTAACCTTTCAATAAATCTCAGATATGGGAGGAGCGCGGTATGATAAAGTGTTTATTCTGACACCCAAGATCTATACAATGCCCGATCGTGGTCTTCCTCCTACGAGCATCGTGACCCGACAGCCAGACTCAGGAATTATTTCCTCAAGACTTCGAAGAGCGTATAGAACACGAACCCAGCTATAATAACTGTGTGATACTGTTTCCATGGAAGCTTAACGATCACAGAAAAACCCTTCGGAGTGCTGTTAACGCTGAACAACTCTGAGAAAGGAGGTGCGTCCATATTTCCTGTAAACTAGAATATTTCGAGGGTTTAGTACCGGTGAACAACTCAGGAGACCAACATCGACGCTTGTTACAATTTCATCCGTATGCTTGAATTTTTGCATGAGTGTCGCAAGAAACATCGGTTTATGTTAAACTTCTATGAAGCTATATTTATTTAAATCTCTTTCCACGAAGGAGAGTCCTTCTCGAGAAGCTGACAGTCAAGTCAAATTTCTTGTCGTTTATGAAACCAAAATTTTTAGTCCCGTGTTCACAACAGATCGCAATCGATCCTTACCCCGAGTCATACAAATCCAGCCCACACCATCCCACCGTTTCCCTGGCATCCATTTTAATATTATCCTCATTCTACGAAAGGTTTTCCGAGTGGTCTCATCACTCAGGTTTTCCAACCAAAATTTTGGAAGCGTACTACACGACCTGCCAATCAGTATTATCCTCCTTGATTTTATCATCCTAATATCTGACGATGCATTTCTCTCGAACGAGTCTTTACAGAAACCAAGAGTGATCAAGATATTCATAAACCATGCACGATGGCAAAGGAATAATTAAATTAATGCGTGTGATTTGTCATTGCAATTTACTGCAACTCGACTGAGATGATTGTTAAAACACGTTCAGCCTAGTCGTAAAATACAACAAGCGACAATCACGATTAGCGAAATGTTAATTGTGATTCTTATCTCACGCCTCGTGGATGACGAAACAATTGAACAGTTCAACGGAAAAGCGACTCAACGCACGCTTCGAGAAACATATTTAAAATGACATTCGGTACTAGATCGAGACGAGTGGAGAGATTCGCGCACCGGCCACTTTTAACCCCGAGAAAAGCGACCCCGATGCACCTAACTGCATAGGAGACTGGATGGATCCCACAGCGGGTCTGGACGTTTAAAATCTTTACACGATGGCACAGTTCACAGTCTGTTCATACCATATTCGTAAACGGTGAGTCGCAGAAATGCGATGTCTGGAACACAAATTTTATATTTAGGTGGTAAATTAAGTACAAATAGATTATAATACTTTCATATATTGATCTAACCCAATTTTTCGGATCCTAAGACTATTTCTTCCAGAATCTATTTGTATTTGTATCGTGACAGTGTTTCGAATTATGCCATCCACTCGATGTAATGTGAGTTACTGAAATAGTCATTAAAAGTAGACCGCAATCAAAATATTCATAAAATAACTCCTAATTAACACGGTCTTATGAGAAAGTCAAAGTTGGATTAAATGGCTTTATCCACGTGTTTCGCATTTACATAATCGAATATCGTTGCCTTTATACGAGGATGAACCACAGTTTAGGTGCAGTGAGTGTACTGGCCGCAACCAGGAACCTGTTATTATCGTGTTATGAACGGCGCGTCCCGCCTGCAAGTTCACACAATGGGAGATCGCTGTTAATTACAACAACAGCCACCTTTTCCTGTCAAATTTCAAACTGACAATTACAACTTACGTACATCACTCGTAACTGCTTACTACTATCATTATATTAGCCATGGTTACTTTTAACCTGTAATTCACAAGGGGAAATATGTATGAGGACTCGGTGAATGTGTTTCTGTTTTGATTTGTGCGCCGGTGTCAGTCTGTCTGTCGATTATTAGGAAAGTATGGGAGTTTAATCGTGATGCTGGCTACCAGAAGTGCTCTTCTAACTCTAGCTTAAGCGACGTCCACGTCTGTCTTTTCGTTATTCCCTTGGAATCCCTACCAATGTCATCGCACATGTCAGGAACGCCTTTAAGACAGCATAGTCCTCCGAACAGTACAACGTTCTTGTCCACAAGGTCTCACTTTCAGTCATTTATAACAGATTAAGTAGGATTTGAGGTTTTCACAGCGGTGATTCCGAAGATGGCTGTCTTCGGGGTTGTAGCTCCGTGTGTAGTCTGGTAGAAGGCAACCGACGTTTCAAAGGTACTTGCTGCATCCATCATCAGGGCGGGTAAACGTTGGTAAACTTCTACCACACTACACGGCGCCACAACCCCGAAGACAGACATCTTATAAGCGACTAGAAAATTTATTGCACTAAGTAACACAAGAATAACACGATGTACTCCATTTAGGATTGTTTGGTGTTCAAATGCATTGTTTGTGAATATTGACCAAGCCACGGGATGAAAAGATTACAAGTTGTACCTCAGCCACTCGACCCCATGGCCTGAGCATTCGTAATTGCCCTGTCATCTCTCGGTCGACGAAAATTAACCGCTGAAACCAGCTCAGTACCACGAAACGAGCTACGAAGCAAGATATAATATGACAGAGTGTTTTTCTAACAGTCATTTGGCGAACGTTCTACTCCGAAGTTATCAAATCACGTATTAACGAGTTCGTAACACATACCTCGAGTGGAATTTCTAGACCAGCTGACGAACTCCGCTCCATGAAGTTAGTTATTGTAATCTACCCAGACCATCATCAGTCCTAATTCATCAAAGCAGAAAATTCCTGCTATGTTACACGAACAGCAACAAGGCTACAAGAGCCAGTGTTTTCCCCCCCCCCCAGTACTAAAGAATTTAATAGTGGATCTAAAGTTGTTTTGAAAGACAGAATATTTCTAAACGAGATTCTTCTCGTCCTCAGCTGTTCTGACATTGCAGACAGTAATTACTGGAAACAGGGCGACACAGGGAGGGGGTAAAATCTAAAAAAAATCTCGATCTAGAGAACTAAAAACTTACGGTAAGGATAACTGAGAACCTGCCAAACCTGCGCTGTGAGGACGTGTTTTGTTCGCGTCGGCATGTCCATCCGCCGACGTTTCCCACGACCCAAAACATTACAATGGCTCTCTGCCTTCAAGCCACTGAATCCACAAATCGACTCCATGGAGTACAGTCCTTCTTGACACACTAATAAGACGCTCAGCTGAGTTAAGAAATTCTCAGTTTTTGCGAAACCCGAAGGCTCATTACCGTGTTCACAACAGCCCGCCTCTGATCCCTATCACGAGCCAGATGAATCCAATTCAGACCCTTAGACATTCTTTCCTAAACATACATTTTAATATTAGACTCGTATCTAACGCCTAAGTCTTAAACGTGATCTCTTCATTCCAAAGTTTTCCAACCAAAACTTTGTAAGCATTTCTCATCTGTCTCTCTCTCATATGCATGCTACATGCCCCGTCCGTCTCATTCTCCTTCTATTACGATGTAAAATAATAAAGAAATACTGGGGAGATCGGTCACAACTCTCACCTGCTAAACCGCTTATCAGCTTCGACGACAGGACAATCCTACTTTACACTAAAGTAGCTTAACACACAGCGATCGGTAAAAGATAAATTACAGATCGCATTAAATCTAAGACTTTAATTTGAAATATTTCTTGGCACGGCGTGGATACATTTAACACGCGAATTGCAATTTCAAATCTATCGATTTTAGAAACGACAGGGCAGTGGAAGGCGAAATGTTAATATTTTATGTCATTTTCCAAATTAGAAAACTATCACTCCATAAACATTGCGTCAGTGCCAACTGCGCAAATGTTTATGGAGTCTTAAATTTTGCAAAACGAAATGCAGTTCAAAAGTAACACGATCCTCCATTCCTAATTATCTTCGACGGTAATATATTTGCGTGTAGCTTTGCGTTAAAGCGATTTGGCGGTCGTTTCTGGCAAATGATAAATAAGAAACGAGGAACAAACAAAAAGACTTGTAAATGTAAACTGGAATGGAATTCGCCTCGTTCGCAGAATGCAACATTGCTTATGAAGTAATTATAAAGTAGTGAAATACTTCTCTCTGTCGCAGTCTTGGAACAAATTTGCTTTCCATCAGTCTGAACTCCGAACAGACCACGAGCTTTAATTACGAAACTAAGTTCGGAAAAAGTGTGCAAAGTTCCTTAAAAATATTTTGTTTGTTCCGTGTCCTAGCCACTTACAGTAAGAATCAAGTTTCAGATGAAATTCCTTCTCAGGACAACGATGCAGGAATACATTACGGAAACGAAGAGACGAGGCGAGAAGTACCAAAGTTCACAGTGCTTAATAACTACTATCAACAAGTTTACCTTCCTTCTTGCTAATGGTAGCTCAGCCCAGAGGTTCATTATCCCGTTCACAAGACACCACAGCTATTCATCCAGAGCCAGATCAATCCAATCCACACCCTTCCACCCTATTTATAATTAATTTTATGGAATCCACAAGCGATTCACTGAATCGACAACTTCATATATTTTTATTACATTGTATTCTTATGTCACGTGACAGGTTGTGCAATACAACTTCGCAGGGGTACGACAGCTGCGAGGACATGTGCTGCGGACGAGGCTACAGGACCATCCGCGTCGAGAAAGTACAACGCTGCAAGTGCAAGTACCACTGGTGCTGTTACGTTCAGTGCGAGACGTGTCGAGCTTGGGTCGACACTCACGAATGTAACTGACATTTCTTCGACGGGTCGGTGACTTAGTAACCGGCGGACAACGCACAGAGTGAAAAGCGATTAGTTCGTAAGGAAATGACGAAAGCTCAGTTTACGTCCTGAGGAGCATTTCAGGAAGGAAATGTGATCTAGAACACTATGCAGATCTCATACAGAATGTCCTGTAAATCTCATCTGGAGGAAAATGTACGTGCGCGCATGTATGCAGTTGGGAAACACATCGCGCTCCTCCTATCCATTTACAATTCAGTCAAAGTAGAGCGATCAAACATGTGGAATAAAATCCTAATGATCACTACGTTTTTCTGAGTGCGAGTTAAAGTAATTCGTAATCTTAATAAAGTAAATGCAGAATCATCTGCACTCTCAGTCCCCTTTGAAAATTCATCGCGTACATTACGACACACTCCCAGCGCACCAGAGAAGTTCATGTGAACTTTTAAACACAATTCAAACCGGCATCTAAACACAAATTAGATTAAAAATTAAATCCGTGGCGTAACGGCTCCAGAGAGCCAAAGCCGACTGCCGGCCTCACGTCCACGCGCCTAAGCAGGGGCGAACGATCATCCTGCTTAGATCCAAATATCCTCAGCGCTTCCTCCTCAGACACCCTCAATCTGTGTCCCTTCGAGCGAGACACCGAGTTCCACACCCGCACAAAATAAAAGACTACAGTTTCGTGAATCTTAATCCTTGCGATTTTAGGTCGGGAACGGAATGGCAGCGAGAATTTCCTCGCTTCAATCCGTCCCGAACTGCTCCGTGAATGTTCAGAAGTGTAACGTTCAACAGCGATGATGACGATGATCGTTACGATGATTTTCACAGGCTGCGAGGAAGTCATGACTGTGCGGCTTTGATGACTTTTCAAACGCAGCTAATCACAACTAGCAATACACAGACAGTTAACGAAATGTTAAAAATGTCCACGGGAATGGAGAGGCGGCCGCCGTACGCCTGTCAGACGACCGACAGACCAACGCGCGTGGGCAAAGTATCGGCAAGGAGAAGTAAGGTACATTTGGAAAATGCCAAAAACAATGGTTAGGAATAAATATGCCTACTTATGTTACTAAAAACAATCATCACTTTAATTTCCTGTCAACGAAGACGACTTCTTTACTTTTCAAGTAAACGCAGCTGACGACGACCCATCAGTCCAAAGCAATCGCACGTCATACATATCTTTAATATTATTATTTGCAAGTAAGTAAAACTAATCACAGCCAACGGCGTATCATAATTCAGAGTGTCGTTCATGATCGTCTGGAAAGAAGAAAAGCGATTACTAGTAAAGAACCACACGGACAGTCGACCCTAGAGCCAGTCTGGACAGAGCGGCAGAGAGAGAGAGAAAAAAACTGCATTTCCGCCGGGAATCGAACCCCGGCCATCCAGCCCAGAGGCCTCGTCACAATACTTACTGTGCTCGCGCGGCTCCTGCACAGCTCAAAGAAATTTCTACGCTCGTAACCTCAACTGCGAACGTGCAGTGATGTTTAAGTACGAACGCAGCCTGGAACAAGTGACCTCTACAAACGGCACAAACACGCGATTAATGTTTTTTCACTTTCCAGCTTCCCATTTTACTGGAGAGTTAGAGACAGAAGATACGCATAACTAATTTGGAGAGATACGGCGTTTTTGCTGCGTATAACAAACAACAGCACAAAATGAAAAGTTTCTGAAAGAATCTGGGGGGGGGGGGGGGAA